CTTCATTAGTAAAGACATACATAGCTGAAAGTAAAAGGGTGTGAAAAAGATATTTCATGGAAGCAGAAACCAAAAGAAAACAGGAATAGGCATACTTATATCAGACAAAACAGACTCTAAGACAAAAACTATAATAAGAGACAATAAAGGTCACTATGTTACAATCAGGAGATCACTTAAACAAGATGATATGACCATAGTATACGTGTATGGACCTAAGAAAGCCCTTCATTTTATAAAACAAATGTTATTAGATATAAAGAGAAACATAAGCTCCAATACAATAATGCTAAAGAACTTCAACATCCTATTATTCACTAATGTTCATATCTAAACAGAAATATCAACAAAAAACATCAAGAGTTAAACTATACAATAGACCAAACAGACTTAACACAATGATGGAATATTCTATTCCACTGCTGCAGAATACACATTCTTTTTCTCAGTATATAGCATATTCTCTGGGCTAGACCATATACTAAGTCACAAAACTAGGTCTCATCAAATGCAAATTTAGGCAGTCCGTATCTTTTGAGAATTTAATTCATTTACATTCCAGATTATTGATAAATAATGACTTAGTCCTGTCATTTTCTCTTTAAAATTTCTTTGGTTTGTTTTGAATATCCTTTGTTCTTTTTCTAATGGGTTTTATACTTTCACACATTTTTGTAATGGAAGTTATCCTTCTTTCTTTGTATATGTAGTATATTCTTAAGCATCACTTCTTAAGTGATAAAGTCATTTCCTTTAGTCCTTATTTAGCCGGCGCTGTGGCTCACTAGGCTAATCCTCCGCCTTGCAGCGCCGGCACACCGGGTTCTAGTCCCGGTCGGAGCGCTGGATTCTGTCCCGGTTGCCCCTCTTCCAGGCCAGCTCTCTGCTGTAGCCAGAGAGTGCAGTGGAGGATGGCCCAAGTACTTGGGCCCTGCACCCCGGCCGCGTCGGCCATTGGAGGGTGAACCAACGGCAAAGGAAGACCTTTCTCTCTGTCCACTCTGCCTGTCAAAAAAAAAAAAAAAAAAAAAAAAAAAAAAGAGTTCCTTTAGTCCTTATTTTTTATTTATGAAAGATTGCTTCGCTTGGAGAAGTACTCTGGGTTAGCATTTTCTTCCCTTTCCAGAATGTAGAATATACCTTTCCATTACCTCCTGGCCTGTAAGTTTTGGATAAAAAATCTGTTAATTTAATGGGAATTGCCCAAAAGTCCCTGGCACTTTTCTTTCCCAAATTTTAGAATTCTTTCTTTGTGCTGTACTTTTGAAAGTTTGATTGTGATGTGTCGTGGAGAAGTTATTTTCTGTTCATGTCTATTTAGGGTTCAGTGGGCTTCCAGTCCTTGGATATTCGTATCTTTCTCCAGATTGGGGAAGTTTTCAACTATTATTTCATTGAACAGGTTTTCAAGGCCAATTCTCATTTATTATCATGCACTGATTTCCTAGCTTTGTTTAACTGTCTGTATTCTCTTACATCTTTTAGAATCCTTATAATTATTCTTTTAAATTCATCAGGAATTTCATCAATTTCCCCTTCTTCACAATCTGATATCAAAGCGTTACTGTGTTCTTTGTGGAGTCTTACTGACTTGCTTTTTCATACTTCCTATGTATGCTACATGGCCAAAGGGAGCCCATATGATATCTCTACAGTGAAAATTACAAAACAACCACCAAAAAATTGAATAAAACGGGAAAAAATGGAAAGACCTCTCATAATAAATAATATTATTAAAATGTCCATACTATCAAAAGCAATTAGCAGTCAATGCAATCATCATCAAAATATTAATGACATTGCTTACAGAATTAGAAAAAAATCTTAAGATTCTTATGGAAATACAAGAGATTCCAAATAGCCAAAGCAATCTTTAACAATAAGAACAAAGCTGGTGGCATCACAATACCAGATTTCCTGACATAGAGCTGCTGTAACCAAACCAGTGTATGTGGTACTGGCATAAAAATAGACACAAAGACCAATGGAACAGGAATAGAAACTCCCAAAATAAACACACATCTATAGCCAATGCCAACTTATCTGACAAAGGTGGCGAAGGTACTCTCTGGAGAAAGAACCATCTAAATGGAATTGGGAAATCAGATTTCCACATGCACAAGTGTAAAAATAAACTAAAAATGGATAAAAAATGTAACACCTGAAACTCTGAAACTACTAGAAGAAAACATAAACAATGTCTTTTTGCATAAGAACCGAAAACATAGGCAACATAAGCAAAAGTAGATAAATGGAATTTTTATCTGATTAGAAAGTTCCTGTATAGTGAAGAGGCAATCACAATAGTGAAGAGATACCCAAAAGAATGGGAGAAAATATTTACAAATGATGCTTCTGATAAAGGATTAAAATCAGGTATATATAAAAAACTAAAAAAATTCAACAAAACAAATAATTCAGTTAAGAAATGTATAAAGGATCCAAATAGATATTTTTCAGAAGACATACCAGTGGCCAACAAACACATGAAAACATACTCAGTCTCACTAGTCATCAGGGAAATGTAAATAAAAACAACAAATGAAGTATTATTCACTCTAATTAGAATGGCTATTATTAAAAAGATGAAAAATAACAAATACTGGTGAGGATGTGAAGGAAAAGAAACCCTAATACACTGTTGTTGTGAATGCAGATTAGTACAGCCATGCCGGAGAACAGTATGGAGGTTTCTCAAAAAACTACAAATAAATCTACCAAATGACCAAGCTATTCCACTTGTGGTAAAACATCCAAAGGAAAAGAAATGAGCATATGAAAGAGACTCTCACATTTACTGCAGCCTTATTCACAATTTCTAAGATATGGATCAACCCAGATATCCATCAATGGATGAATGAAGAAAATGTGATAAACATATAGCAAGGAATATTAGTCATAAAAGAATAAACCCAGACATCTGCAATAAAATGGTTGGAATTAGAGAATCTAAGATAGTAATTGCTAGAGATAGAGAGATAGGGGTACATTGGATAATGGGTACTAAAACATATTGAAGTGAGAGGCAACAGGTTCTGGTATACCATAGAACAGTAGGAAATCTATGGTCTGTAAAAAGGGAAATTGAAGGAGTAATTTTTCCCATGATTGATTTTTGCTATATATATATATATTGAAATATTACATTATATTCCATAAATTATAAAGGTATTTCACATCAATCCAAAATTACATTAGCCATTAATGTAATTAATAACAACAGGAATATATTACACATTATATCTGAATATTATATAGTCACTGTATCTGAATAATTGATTATTGTTTTCTTATATTTGTTCCTGCTCTTCTTTTAATCTACCACAAGCATATTCTCATGTGATATGTCACAGTTTATATTCAAAGGCACAAATCCAAATCACGCCCAGTGGTGATCATTGACAGCAGTTCACCACACTTTAGCTTCCAATTTTCTTCTCTTTGTTCAACAGGTAAAACAAGTTCCACTGAAGGACCTGGGGGACAGCTTTCAAGATGTGCACTGTGATTACTCATAATGAAGTCAGTGCAGTGTCAGTTTCATAATATTTTCTGCTCACAATGACTCAGTCCTGACTATGACCCTGTCCTGGGAATGTATAGTCTGTGTACTACGCTGGGGTAGATTTACCAAGATCCTCAATGCCAAGTTTACTAGTCTTCCCATTTCCAAGGGTTAACACTAGATCATTCCATGAAAAACACAAGGAAAATAAACATCTATGTCTAAAACTGTCTCAGCTAATTCCATTTAAATCTACCAAAGATTTAACTCAACGGTACAATATAGTCTATAACTGCAAGCCATGTTAAACATTTTAAAACTGATTTCATTCATTACAAGCCAAAGAAAGGTATTTTTTTTCTTTCTGTAATTCCAAAAGAAATATTCTCTGGCTCTTGATCTCAAGGGTATTTTTTAAAATTCACACTAGTTTCAAACAATGTGTTATTTATTTGAAGATGATTCATAATTAACATAAAGTTTCCTGTTATTTCTTTTGAATGGCATCAGAAGACATCAAGATGACTATTAACTATTGTTTCTTCAATATGTGTTTTCTTATTAAAGTAGAAAGAAAAAGTGATTGATTTGATCAAGTGGCACCTGTACTTTCAATTTCTATTCTGCTACAAATTTGTCTTACTGCTTTAATGGGAACATATCATCAGGTAGATAACTTCAAAGAGTTATGCCAAGGCTCTGACAAAATATATCAGCTCCTCAGTCAATGATGTGTCTATTGCAGTTTAAAAAACCACAAAACTAGATGGCCTAAATCTCCGTAGAAAAGAAGGTATCACCTCTATGGTTTATATGAGCAAAGCATTTTGAGTTATGGGTTTGGTCCTTGCTTGTGTAGCCATCTAGCTATACCATCAGCCACAGTAACACTAGTCATAGGTAGTTACTTAAAACATAGGTAATTAAAATTAGATACAATTTAATATATAGTTCCTTAGTGGCACTAGTCATACTTCAAGGGCTCAACAACTACATGTGGCCAGTGGTTACTACATTGGATGGTGTAGATGTACAACATCTACATTACTGCAGAATGCACATCAGGCATCACTGATGCACACTGTCTGAAGCAGCATGCTAAAAGCACCCAGATTTAAAAACAAGTTATTTCTTCAGAGTTTTAAGACATATACCACTTGATATTATAAGGTGTTTTAAGGTATAGCTAACCATGTCTTGGTTTTTCCAGAACAATAAAATATTTTTAATATTTGTATCACACATTCAATCACATGATCCATTAAAAGTAAAAGTAAATGCAACAAATTTAATTTTAGTAGGTCTTTTTATATAAGTATGTAAAAATCTTTTGTCATACTATGGATCCTAAATTTTGATGTGAGAAACAGACAGACAAAACTAACCCATTTATATTGTAAATGAAGTTAACAAACTTCTCTTGTGCAGAGGCCTCTACTTTCCCCAGCATTCAACATAGGTGACTACCCATGCACAGCTGTATCTTGTTACTCACCGAGCTCCAGGCAGATCTATGAGTCCTGAGCTGCTCCCCTGCTGGCCCCAGGTGCTATCTCTGCCATGAAGAGTATAAACTCTCTGTACCACCACTCGGACAACCACTCCTGACCACATGGAGGCTCCCTGGCTTTCCACCATGTCCAGGAGAGAATCTCTTGGGGGAGCGCCAGCTGCAAGGTGCTGTTTTGCTTCTTCATGCTCATGGGTCCAGCCTGTGCCCATGGGAGTCACCCCACTACACATAACCTGGTCAAAACATGCAGAGAGAACAGTTTCAGTTTGATTTACAGCATGATGCACACCCAATAATGACATTCTTGGGCAATCTTGCAACATATTAGTGTTACACTGAAGGAATGATGAAGACAAACTGAACAGTTTGCAGTGTAGGCCTCTGCATCCCCTAGGTAACTACCATTGCTGAGGAGGGAAGGTGAGCAACAGAACATAAACAATGCAGTATTTCTCATTAGTGGAATACCAGACCAGCTTGCACATAGTTTGGAAACGCACAGATAATTCTTTTATTAAGATATCACAAGGTAATTTAATAAGCTTTTCTTTTCTGAGGTAAGAATTCCAACAGTACAAACTAAAAATCAAAAGAGTGACTAGGTTACTTAAAAAATGGATGTTGCTATTAGGTGCTTGTATGTACACTCTACTAGGCTAAACACTTGATATCCTCATGTGTTCTCCCAATAATCCTTCACAGTAATATTCACTCTCATAAGACAGTAACATTTCTGGAGAGCTTCCTATATTCCAGGCTTTGTTCTTTACTTATTGAGCAAATTTACCTTCATAACCAGTCAAGGAAGTAGGTGACATGTATCCTTCTCCCACTTTGCAAATCTGAAGATCGAGACACAGGAGCCTACAGATCTTGCCCACAGTCTCACAGCAGAACGTTGACTGAGGCAGAATTTGAACCAGGGCCTCTGGCTTCAAAGGCCATGATGTACACTATGCTATACTGCAGCTTCACAGCCATTGTCATGAGACAAAAATATCTCATCAGGTTAACACATAATTGTTTATTTATTTATTTATTTTTTTGACAGGCAGAGTGGACAGAGAGAGAGAGAGAGACAGAGAGAAAGGTCTTCCTTTGCCGTTGGTTCATCCTCCAATGGCCTCCACGGCTGGTGCGCTGCGGCCGGTGCACCGCGCTGATCCGAAGCCAGGAGCCAGGTGCTTCTCCTGGTCTCCCATGGGGTGCAGGGCCCAAGGACTTGGGCTATCCTCCACTGCCTTCCTGGGCCACAGCAGAGAGCTGGCCTGGAAGAGGGGCAACCGGGACAGAATCCGGCGCCCAGACCGGGACTAGAACCCAGTGTGCCGGCGCCGCAAGGCGGAGGATTAGCCTAGTGAGCCGCGGTGCCGGCCCACATAATTGTTTACAACCATATATTAAAGCAACAATGCTCTTTGAGACATATTTTATGTTAAAAATAAATTGTTTGGAGAACACTCTTTTTCAAATAATCCTGCCTAGATACTTTTTTTGATGGGAAAGATTTCTTTTTTTTGCTTGATTATATAGGACAAAGCAGAATGAAAGTTTGCCTTCTTTTCCTTTCTTACTTTCCCTCTGTCAATTTGTCATCTCAGCATTTTATTCAGTGATGGTTCCTGTAACCCAATGACATTAAGATCAGCACCCTGGCCACACAGACTATCAGAGCTGAGAGTGTCCCAAGGCACACATCATGGCCACTGCAAGTGAATTTTAGTGGTTCCCCAAATTCATCTTGTCAGATGAGTATGGTTCAGGGCCAATAAAATTCCAAAAGGCAACCTCTAGGGTATAATTTCAAGCTTACATAGCTCTTTCTATCCCAAAGGATATAAATATTATAGAAAGTAAAAATATGATAAAAAAGAGGGCTTAATACTGAATTCTTAGACAATTACAAGATGAGAACAGAGAAAATAAAAACTTTTACATATTTTTAAAAATTAGAATATTAAAATACATAATTAGGAAGATAAAATATTATAAAAGATCACAACTAAATGCTAAAATGCACTGTAATATCTTCAAGCCTAACAAGAATAATAAGTTGCCACAGCAGAAGTATTTGCTGTGTATTTGGAGGGAGACAAAAGAAGAACATCTCCACCTACTCCAAAACGCTCACAAATTTAGTCATCAATATTATTATAAGTACATATCCCTAAGTCAGTAAGAGGTTACCTGGATTTCAGATGAATTATTTGATAGATCTCTAATTCTATACATCTGGACCAAAGTGATGTTTCTTCTTGGAAGGGGTGTGTCTGTACAGTACACTTCATGAGTTGTTTCTGAATTTTCTTTGGCAACAACTTTCTGACAAAAATAAGTATTCAGAATAATAGGGCATCTCCCATTTGGGATAGTAAGTTTTTGCCTGAAAGAGAAGAAATTCAGCATTTTATTTGCAATGTTGGATTCCCCTCCTATTCTTGCTAAATCAGAAACGTAAATTTCAATGATGTAGCTACCTCAGAAAGTTAAGACCATGCCAGCCCACTGAATGACAGCCACATCTTTTTTTTTTTTTTTTTTTTGGACAAGCAGAGTAGACAGTGAGAGAGAGAGACAGAGAGAAAGGACTTCCTTTGCCATTGGTTCACCCTCTAATGGCCGCTGCGGCCGGCGCACTGCGGCTGGCACACCACGCTGATCTGAAGGCAGGAGCCAGGTGCTTCTCCTGGTCTCCCATGTGGTGCAGGGCCCAAGTACTTGGGCCATCCTCCACTGCCCTCCCGGGCCACAGCAGAGAGCGGGCCTGGAAGAGAGGCAACCGGGACAGAATCCGGCGCCCCGACCAGGACTAGAACCCGGTATGTCGGCGCCGCAAGGCGGAGGATTAGCCTAGTGAGCTGCAGCGCTGGCCAACAGCCACATCTATCAATGGACGGCAAGTTCAGGCCAGCCTGCTGAGGGACAGCCACATCTAATGATGGATAGCTGTCCTTAGTGCTCAATTGTGACTGTGAATGAATCCAACTTTACTTTTCCAGTAAACGTCCAGTGCTAGCAAGGCTAGAAGGCTGTCAGCTAAGTCCCTAGGCTTGGCTCCTTCAGTCCCTCCTAGACTAGTAGACAAGGACATCAGGACCCCTTGAGGGGAAACATAGACAATGAACAAGACTAACAAGAATCAAACTAGTGCCCAAACAATGAAATAAATATTATCTACAAATAAACCTTCAGATAATTTGACAACTCTAGTCTTTCAAAGAACATGACATTAAATGCCAAAGGACTTCTAGCTTCCCTTCAAACTGATCAGAGTTGCTGCAAAGTCTAATATTTAAATACAAACAGTCTGTGAATATAGTAGAGAATGTTTTTGGATTCCTCTCAGTCTCCTGAAATGAGAAAACACTTTAATCTTAATGTGTTTAAACAGGAGATGCTTGTCAGGCATTTGGCTTTGCAGTTGAGATGCCAATTAGGATGCCACCATTTTATTTGCAATGTTGGATTCCCCTCCTATTCTTGCCAGCATCTCACAAAGGAGTACCTGGGTTCAATCCTCAGCTCCTGATTCCAGTTTCCTACTAATGTAGACCGTAGGAGGCATTAGTGATGGATCAGGTAGTTGGCTTTCTACCACCTATGTGGGAAATTCAGATCAAGTTCCTTACTCTCAGCCCTAGTCCAGACCTGGCCATTGTGGGCATGTGACGAGTGAGCCAGTAGGTAGTAGTTCTCTCTCTCTGTCTCTCACTATCTCTTAAACAAACAAACCAAGAAACAGAGGAAAAACAAACTACAGCAATAACAAAACAGGAGGTACTGATGGTAATACCAAGAGAAAAATAGGACTTCTGATTCCAGAAGACTGGGGTAGACCTATTTTTCCCTATTCCTCTCTAAGTATAACTAAAAGGTCTGATACTCTACATAAAATAAATTCAAGAAGACATTGAAAGGTGAAGAATAGAAGTCACATTGGATAGGACCTAGGGACCTTAGGACCTGAGGAACAAACAGCAGCAAATTGCTGAGATTTTGTTTTGCCTCAGATACCCCACATTGGAGCTTAAGAAACTGACAACCTGGAAACAGCAGCAGGTGCAGATGAAAACAGTCAACAACAGCTTGCTCTCTCCAACCAGAGAACTAGGGGAGAGGCAGCTTAGCAAGGCAAAACCTGTAGACAGAAACTGTTCTACTCTAGGTAAACACCATGCATCTCCATGTAGGCAACAAAGGCTGAATGGGGAGACTGGGCTTCCACTCTTTTTTTCCCCTTTTTCAAAGGGTTTTTTTTTTTTTTTTTTGTTTTGTTTTGTTTTGTTTTTTGTTTTTGACAGGCAGAGTGGACAGAGAGAGACAGAGAGAAGGTTCTTCCTTTGCTGTTGGTTCACCCTCCAATGGCCGCTGCGGCCAGCGCGCTGCGGCCGGTGCATTGCACTGATCCGAAGCCAGGAGCCAGGTGCTTTTCCTGGTCTCCCATGGGGTGCAGGGCCCAAGCACTTGGGCCATCCTCCACTGCACTCCCTGGCCACAGCAGAGAGCTGGCCTGGAAGAGGGGCAACCGGGACAGAATCTGGCGCCCCAACTGGGACTAGAACCTGGTGTGCTGGCACCGCAGGCGGAGGATTAGCCTATTGAGCCGCGGCGCCAGCCTGGGCTTCCAGTCCTAACAGGCTATAAGGAGGAACTGCAATAGCCAAGTCAGAATGCAGTGACAGAAGGTGAGGCAGCAAGCTAGGAGTTCAACCCTGCAGGCTTGCAATGAGTACCCTGTTCACTGTGACATGGAGACCACCTGTGGCCTGCACATCACCCAACTTCACAGTAATAACTAAGTGTTCCTCTCTACCCTCTGAGGTGGTACCAGAGGAAGACTAGCTAAGAGTTAGGGCTTTCACCAATGTCCAGCAGTACTGAAGATGCCCTCTACTCTCTTATCTCTCAGTGGAATCCATATGAGGAGTAGCAGTACAGCATCTCTGGCTTTTCAGCCAGATTGGTATCAGCAGAAGCCTCGCAGGGAGCTGCAACTCATACCTCGTTACAGCAGGAACAGCATAGGTGTCAAGTGGGAAATCTGAACTTCTACCACTATCAGACAGTAACAACCCTCATCCTCTGACCTTACACCAATGTCAGATGAAGCCACTTAAAAATGTTTCAGATAAGATACAAAGTCTCACAACATCATGCTCTAAATGTCCACGTTCCTATCTAAGATCCCTTGTTATATTAGAACCAGGAAAAAAAATTCAACTGAGTGAAAAAAGAAAATTAATAGATATCAATGCTGAAATGACGGAAATGTTAGAATTATCTGACAAAGATTCTTCTTCTTTTAAAGATTTATTTATTTGAAAGTCAGAGTTAAATACAGAGAGAGAAGGAGAGGCAGAGAGAGAGAAAAGTCTTCCATCTGCTGGTTCACTCCTCAGCTGGCCGCAACAGCTGGAGCTGTGCTGATCCAAAGCCAGGAGCCAGGAGCTTCCTCTGGGTCTCCCACGTGGGTGCAGGGGCCCAAAGACTTGGGCCATCCTCTACTGCCTTCCTAGGATATAGCAGAGAGCTGGATCGCAAGTGAAGCAGCTGGGACTCCAACTGGTGCCTATATGGGATGCCGGCACTACAGGTGGCAGCTTTACCTGCTACTCCACAGTGCTGGCCCCTGACGTAGGTTCTAAAGCAGCATTAAAGCAGCTATTCAATAAGACGTTATGAATTTGAGACAAATGAAAAACTAGAAAGTTTCAGAAAGAAATAAGATATTTCTTTTTTTAAAAAAGATTTATTTATTTTTTGAAAGAGTTACAGAGAGAGGAGAGGCAGAGAGAGGGGTCTTCCATATTATGGTTCACTCCTCAATTGGCCACAGTGTCCAGAGCTACACCGACCCGAAGCCAGGAGCTTCTGCTGGGTTTCCCACCTGGGTGCAGGGGCCCAAAGACTTGGGCCATCTTCCACTGCTATTCTAGGCCATAGCAGAGATCTGGGTAGGAAATGGAGCAGCTGGGAGTAGAACCGGCGCCCATATAGGATGCCGGCGCTTCAAGCCAGGGCTTTAACCCACTGCGCTACAGCGCTGGCCCCAAGATATTTCTTAAAAATGAATGTTTCCAGCTCACTTGGCTAATCCTCCGCTTGTGGCGCTGGCATCCCAGGTTCTAGTCCTGGTTGGGGCGCTGGTTCTATCACAGTTGCTCCTCTTCCAGTCCAGCTCTCTGATGTGGCCTGGGAGGGCAGTGGAGGATGGCCCAAGTGCTTGGGTCTCTGCACTTGCATGGGAGACCCAGAGAAGCACCTGGCTCCTGGCTTCGCATCAGTGAAGCGCCGGCAGTAGGGCCATTAGGGGAGTGAACCAACGGAAAAGAAAGACCTTTCTCTCTGTCTCTCTCTCACTGTCTATAACTCTCTCTGTCTCTTTTACTGTCTAACTCTGCCTGGCCAAAAAATACAAAAACATAAATACAATATAGAAGACTGTTTCCTTCTTTCCAAAACCCCAAACTAATACTATTAAAAAACTCAATGGATAGATTCAACAGCAGAATGCAGAAGAAAAAAAATAATGAATGAACTTGAAGATAAAATAATAGAAATAGTTCAGTAAAGGTAAAGTAGACAGCAAAAACAAAAGGAAGAGAGTATCAAAATCTATGGGAAGGAAGAAATAAAAACAGAAAGATACAGATATATACACTAGGCTTTCTTAGTTCGGGGTTGGCACATAAACTAACACTATCTGATGTAGTTCTAAATGTATTCAGAGAAGCAGGGCCGGTGCTGTGGCACAGTGGGTAAAGCTGCCACCTGCAGTGCCAGCATCCCATATGGGTACTGGTTCGTGTCCTAGCTGCTCCACTTCCAATTCAGCTCTCTGCTATGGCCTGGGAAAGCAGTAGAGGATGGTCTGAGTGCTTGGGGCCCTGAAGCTGCATGGGAGACCCAGTGGAAGCTCCTGCATTCGGCTTGGAACAGCTCCAGCCATTGAGGCCAACTGGGGAGTGAACCAGCGGAGAGAAGGCCCCTCTTTCTCTGCCTCTCCTTCTCTCTCTGTGTAACTCTGACTTTCAAATAAATAAATAAATAAATAAATCTTTAAAAAAGTGCATGCAAAGAAAATATTAAATATAATCATATTGTAAATAGGAAGGGTAAGGGAATATGAACAGGGCCACCGTTGTGGCACAACAGATTAAGCCATTGCTTGTGATGCTGGTATCCTAATTGCTGGTTTGAGTACAATTGCTCTGCTTTAGATTCAGCTCCTTGCTAAAGCACCAGGGAAGGTAGCAGAAGACGGCCCAAGTGTCTGGGCCCCGGCCACCTATGTGGGAGGCCCAGATGGAGATCCTGGATCTTTTCTTCAACCTGGCCCAGCCTTTGCGGTGGTGGTTATTTGGTAAATGAACCAGCAGATGG